CACGATTTCTCTGTGATAGAATCCGTCGCAGCTCTGCATCAAATGCGAATTGGCCCTAAGACATAAATTGTTTCGCCAATGTAACGAGTAACGGACAGTAAAAAATAAAGCTACTGGTCAAATAACGTGACATATCCGCATGAGTTTGGATTTGCATCTGGCTGGGTTAATATTTGACCTATTGCAAAAATCTCATTTCCAGAGGTAGAGTAGCACGAATCATTCGCAGCCTTTTCTTAAATACATGATCTGCTTGACTACCATCTTACTATACTCAAAACTGGGTTTTTCCTGGTGATCCTTCGGGAACTTATATCAAAAGTATACTTCAGTCTAGGTATTGCTCTGTACGAATCATCTCATCGGATCAAGCCAGGAGGTGAATCAGCTGGAGTTGGTGGTCCAAAACATCCTGTGATTAGCCAGCACAGGACTTTGAATTCCAAATTTCACTAAAATGAGAAGAACAAATCCATGATTTTGGCAAGGAGTAACGAAGCTACATATGTATATTGCCCAATGTTGGTTCTATGAAGTAGGCGTACTGCTCGCAATGACCAGACTACGGACCGGTTGTCACTGCCAACGATGGGAATTCTAAGATGATAATAGGATACCTCAATTAGCATAAGTCAAGAGATGTTCATGAGCGACTCGAGAAGGAGTAATGTTCATTTTTTAGTTCTCCATTGCTGAAGCTATGTCAAGTCTGCCGCTAACGCTCAAGACGATCGAAGAAATCGGTCAGATACAGAAGCAAAGAATGCCCATAGTCAACACAGTGTCGTACTTCAGTAGCACCACGGCCAGAGGACAAGCAGTACACGGAAGACGAGTTGCGCGAGTGCGAAGAGATCCTTATCGAGTTTGCAAAGAAGCTTGCCAAAGACGAAAATATCGTTGGTAGGAAGGCTGCTGTTCGGGTGGAAGCACTTCGTCAAAGAAATTTTGTTCAGATCTGCGAAAGTTGCTCGTGATTACTCGTCCTTTTTACGATGTTGTTGGCAAAGCTAAAGCTAGCAAACTCGTCCGAGCGTTAGTGGAGTGCTGCCTAACAGTACATCAAGACAACAATCAGAAGGTGTGGGGACGAGCTCCTCTTGCCAGTGGGGCAGTCCTCTGACAGCAAAATACTTTAGGTTGCCCTGGTGCAAGAGTGTATCGAGTGGGCCACTCAGAACAGTCGACTCTTCTTGCGCAGAA